TTTACCCAATTAGACTAAATGCATTAAAAAACTATTATTTTAATGTACTATACATTATTTTTGTTTATTACTTTTACGTGTTCTAAATTTGTTTGCCTTTGCACACAAAATTGTTTCAGAATTCAATTCTAAAAACTTTCACAAAAAAAAAACAATTTTGACTCTTCGTGGGCTCGAACTCACGCCATTTAGATGAGCTTGAAAGTTCAACGCATTACACCGCTAGGCCACCGATTTTCAAATTTCAAGGGCGATTTTCTAGCTTCAAGATGATTTTTTGTTCTACGAAATACGGCGATTTTCCCTAAATATGAGAAAATACTAATAGCATATGCTCGCCTTCACTAATAGAAATAATTGGCATTTTAGAAAAATTAACCCTAAACATGTTTGCTATGGCGATTTTTCCTATATGTAGATCGATTTTTCTTAATGTTTCATGTTTACTGCAATTTTTCTAGTATTTAGAAAATATTTTAATAATTGTATGTACAGAGCTTTCCTACTCTTAGAAAACTAAAAACTAATTTAAATTTAATTTTACTACCTTATATGTTTATCGAGAACTATACTATATGATTAAGGGCCGGTTTCTCGAGTGCCGGCTACCGTTTCTCGAACTGAAAAAGACCTTGCTAAGCGATTTTGGTTTTCTCGAGCCTCAATGTAAAAGCTAACTTTGACAGGGACTCAGACTCCCTGTTAAGTCTTTTTCAACTCGATAAAAAGATAGCTATTTTCACAAAGCCTATTAAGATAAAATTATATAATCTGAAACATGAACAAAACCTACAATGTTGATGCAATAATCAAAGCAAGCCCTGTGTTTTCGCTCAACAGCTTAAATTTCTGATTAACAGCACTCTGTAATTGTTTTTCGTTCAGATAAATTTAAGGCGTCGAGGAAAACGTTTTAAAGCTATCAAGCTGAAACTTTCCCAAAAGTGTGGGCGTTAGAGTGGGTGTGGCATATTAGCATAACAAACTTGCGCTGCGTACAAGGCTGCGGAATCCCCTCTCTCTGAAATCCCAATTCTCAATCTTTGATAGTTTCCGAGATGTCCGCGTTTATATTTATGATTTGTTGATGTTTGTGGGCGGTTTATGGGCGTTGAAGTGGGCGTGGGAAACTTATTTTTGAGTCAATCGATAGGTATTGATGAGAACAAAACATTTCAGTTAAAATTTTGTTTGTGGGCTTTAGAGTGGGCGTGGCAACCTGCTGAAACAAACTTGCGATGCGCAGGAAGCTCAGGAATCTGCATGCCAAGTCCCAATAGCCTAGCTCTTATAGTTTCCGAGATCTCAGCGTTGATACGGACAGACAGACTTTTACTCTACGAGTAACGGGTATAAATATTTTAAAAGAAATGTAAAACAAGAAAGGAAGTTATCTTCGGCAAGCCGAAGTTTGTATACCCTTGCAGTTAGAATTACTACAAAAAATTCAAAAAATTATATTCCCAATAGTATAAGATAATATGTTTAATATAGTTTGTTTCATATTATTTTTCGATCGTTTCTATGGCAGCTATATGACATAGTCGTCCGATTTTGATAAAAATAATTTCGAAACTCAAAACTTATTAAAATATGCTATTTCCAAGCGTAGGACGGTATATGTTAAAAAACGCCAAAGATATAATATTTTAAAACTTTTTTTTTTCGATAATTCCAATGGGAGCTATAAGATAAAGTTGTCCGATCCGGCTGGTTCCGACTTATATACTACCTGCAAAAGAAAGAAAACTTTTGGGAAAGTTTCAGCCAGATAGCTTTAAAACTGAGAGACTAGTTTGCGTAAAAACGGACATACAGACGGCCATACGGACAGGCGGACAGACGGACATGGCTAGATCGACTCGTCTAGTGATGCTGATCAAGAATATACATACCATGGGGTCGGAAACGTCTTTTCACTGCGTTGCAAATTTCTAACTGAAATCATAATACCCTCTGCAAGGGTATAAAAAATTATAGCTTTGGTGTTTTTAGACACATTAACTTTTACTCTTCGAAAAAAATGTAAATGTATGTATACGACTTTATCATCTAGCTGCCATAGAAAGGACCGAATAATTAATGTCAAAATAACACAAAGGCCGTTATATTTCGTTTATTTACGGTAGTAAGTTAACATGGAACATAATCTTTATATTTCTATAATTACTTTTTAGTTTTTCTAAAATCGGAGAGCTCTGTACATACAATGCTCCCACGGTAACGACCTGCAAGGGTATAGAAACTCCGGATTGCCGAAGCTAGCTTCTTTTCTTGGTTTTTGTATTTTAGCCTTTGTGGTTTTTGCCATATTACAGTGGCCGGCAGTCCACGTAGTGGCGAACGCTCACCAGGAAAGTGTGTGAAGACGAGTTCTATATAAAGCCGCAGAATTGAAAATCTGTAGTAACGATCCGAACATAACGAGTGATACACAAATGGTATTGGAAAAAGTAAAAAGATTGTTTACCAAGAGTTTATTAATTTCAATAGGTTTGGAAGAGAAACCGATAAAAGTGTTCAAGTGAAAATTTTAAAAATTCGAGCTGCTGAGGCCGGTGGGGATAAAAGCCCCAGGTTATTAGGTTTTGTTTTTACTGAGAATACGCGTCGAATAACACCTCATTTGTTAAATCCAATGCTCCGTCCAAAAGCTATTCCAAAAACAATATTTTGGACTATCCAAAATTAAAATGTTTGTCACTGTGTTTGGGGGTTTGTATGAATTCTTCTTTGGTTTTAGGGTCTTGGGACCGATCGATACAGATCGATATAGAAAACTTTAGTTCTGCTATTTTTGGAAAAGCCGCTTTTCAGCGGTAAATCGAAAAAAAACTATATTTTAAAGGCTTATATGCTACAGATATGTACTGAAGAGGTAAATTAATATGATAGTCACGCATTAAACTCTGATTAAATTCTCTAAATACAACTGATTTAAAGTTAAGGCAGAAAGTTTTTAAACCACTTATATTCTATTTTCTAAAATTTATTTTTTAATTTCTAACTAAATAGCCGTTGAGATTCCTTAAGTTGTGATAGATAACACAGTAACATAACACATAAAAATTATCGTTTGGAAGTTATTAAGCGATAAAAAGTGCAACTTGATTAAGTTTAGTATGAAAAACATTTCATGCTAACCTTGAATGCCCAAAACTATGCAAAATTAATTTGATGAGACAAAATTCGTATACGGTTTTTTTTAAAGTGAAATAATAATATTAACAAGTTTGTTATCGACTAAAAATTTTTGTAATAAATAAATTATTTTAAAATTTTTTTATGTTAAATTTACGATGTCTAACTACACATACTTATTTTAAATTCCTTGAGAAAATATTTCTCTATTTAAATACGGGAAACAGTAACGAATGTGGACATGGCCTTTCCAACGGAAATATACATATTGATTTTAATGCTATTACAATAGTTAATACATAAGTATTACAGGAAAAGTGAAGAGCTTCCATTTAAGAATTAATTTTTAAAACATAACTTCTGATATCAAATAAAAATACATCTAAACGTGGAAAAGTTTGTAAATTCGATTTAAAAATATATTTTCTAAAATTTTCTTATTCGGCACGCTTTAATAGAATAGGCTGTTGTATGGTATAAAAACTTAAATATTTTGATAATTTGAAAAAATTGAGAAAATACATATTCTTTTTTATTTTTGATCACATTGTCTTCTACCCCGGTGTATAGAATTATTTTATTATTCCAGTAACAAACAGGGTCTTACTAGGCACCACGAGAATCTACATGCAACATTTTAACACTTTAACAAGAATCGCTGTTGTCGAGTGCCTCGACTACAGATACGCGTTACTCAACATCAAAATAAAATTAGTTCTTACATTTCTATCTACTTTACCTTTATCTACTGGGAGTGATGTAAGTCACAGTAAAAGGGTATATTGTATTTGGGGCAGTGGCGGATCCAGAGTTTTGTTGTGGGTGGAGTATGCAAAAAAATTTCTTTGAAAAATGTTTGAATAAAATACACATTACATATATACTTTTTAACACGAGTGGGTAAATCCCCCCCGTAAATCAGCCAAAAAAGTATATATTCTTGATCAGGATCACTAGCTGACTTAGCTTAGTCTGAATTCTAAACTTACTTTTTAGCCGGTAGTGGTCATTGAACTTAGTTTCGTCAGTCACACAGGCAACATCTTTGACAGCATCCCTTAGACAGCAGTTAATGACGGTTAAATGAGAATCTCTTTGGTCATTATTACGTTGAAAAACCAGTTTTAGGCTGTTCTATGCCTGGACTGAGTTTTGTCAAAATTCCGCGCCTGTGAGACACTATTTCTTCTGTTTATAGGGGTTGGAGATTGTTAACTGCATCGGCCAGGTCAAAACTCTTGATAAGGGTTGTTTACTTTTGGTTTCTATGTGGCTACGCTTAAATCTGCTATGAAACTCTGAAGTTCTTCTGGTTTTCGAGTTTCATTCATAAGCAACGCTACCGATTCTGTCCATTTCAATTTGGCATAGCCACATCTGCTTACCCCCCTTTCCAAAATGCAAGGATCTTCCGCCGTGGCGCATGCGTAGTTCTAATCTTTTGTTCACTGCTTATATGACGCCTTCTGTATTAAGGCCAGTATTCCTGCAGTCTTGCTTGAAGAGGGTTTTTACGGCAATATATGCCTGTCATCTGGCGCGATGTGTGAGTTTGCCAATGGCCTACGCATGTCCTTGAAAAAGGAGAGGCCGGATGCAAAGAAATTGGCATGTTTAATTACATGCTTAAAACAGTTACAAGATACGAAAAAAAACTATCTGCAACCTTTTTTTAAAAAAATGAAAAACAGCTAATATGTGAAATATTCGGGTATGTCACAAAAATGTCTTTGGGCGAAATTCGGGAAAAACTTACTTACGTACGTTTCCTCCAATTTTCGTGCAAAGATTTTCTTGAGACCCCGCGCTTTATATGATTTGCTACTTTTTGTGCACTACGTAATTATCGGTACAAAAACTTCTTCGTCTACCATGTATGGTATTTTATTCAATAACGTATGTAAATAGAGACAATTTAAAAAGTGTTCTCGTTTTCAGAAAATTATAATTTTCCACTTTGTTATATAAATAACAGTAGTATAATAGCTTGTTCGCGCTTAAATTATTTCTAAAGATGTTTTTAATTCCAAGTCTTCAATTTATCGAGAGTATGTATATGTACGATCGGTGATCTAATCTAAAAAATAATTTTATGTAAAAGAAAAGTTTCATGTGATGAGACGTTGGCATGAGTATGATCTGCAGTGGACCGACTTAAAACGAATTTAACATTTAAAGTATAATTAAACTAAGTCCTTACTTCACCTATTTTCTTTGTTTTTGTCGTTTCTTTGAGTTAATTCTTTGTTGTAAATGAGAGCGAAGAAAATGAGAGAATTTGTTTCAAAAATCATTCATCTTTGATTGATCTTTTTGGTATGGCACAGATTTGGCATTGGCAAGTAAGTTCATAATTCTTACGGCGAGGAAAGTAAGAACAAATGGCAAGAAATTAGTCCGTTGTATGTGCTCTAAGCGGCTTCATCAATCCATAATGAGCTTTTTTGGCTATTTTAACTACACCCCGTGTCTTAGGAGCCCGAATTAGGCCGCCTATTTTGTAGAGCCCTCGCACTGTTGCACTTGAACCAGCAACAAAAGAATGCGATTCATTAAATTGTCCGCTTCCGAGTCCTCCATGCTGTTCAGCTTAGCCGATATGAAGCCGCAAAACTTGGAGTTGAGAACCTCACGCACAGTTTGCGGGGGCGGTAGATCCATCCCTCCGGTGTCAGCTGCACCCTGTTGCTGCCGAAGGTGGCGGTGCTGCTGCAGCATTTGCTCCTCGTAGTCATCGCCATCGATACCAGCATCACCGTCGCCATTGCCGTTCTCCAGGACGTCTTGGTCGACATGGCGGCGGCGCTTGCGTGACGAGGCAACCTCGTCCACGCCCACATTGGTGCTCGCGCGTGAGTTGGAGTCCAGGATTAGCGGATATGGGAAATCGGCGTCGATCGCATCTAACTCCTCCACTACATCGGATGCGTGACCAGCGTCTTCATCTCCACTGCGAATCGAGCTGGCATCGATGTCATCGTAGCTGTGCTGCAGTTGCTGATGCTCGTTGCGCGTGGAACTCACCCGGCTGTCGTTGGGCGCTTGAAGTTGGTGGGCGGGCAGCGGAAGTGGTATACCGCCGGAGCTACTGCGGCTGCTGCTACTTCCGGCCCCGCCGCCCACCGAAAGATCCAGCTCCGGCTTTACGTAGTAGTCGCCGTAGTAGTCATCGCCGCTCACATTCAGCGAGGAGCACTTAGAGAGATTCAACACTGCGGCGGAATCGTGATAGGACGTGGAGAGCTTCAGGGCCACAGCTTTCCCAGCGGCTCCCAGGCTGTTGTTGTTATTATTATTGTTGTTGTTAATATGGCCATACCCAGTCAGGCTGAGATCGGTTGCATGCGATGCGCCTCTGAAATAAATGAAAACCATTAATAACGCGTTACAAAGGTAAGTAAATTGAACAATGTTTACCAGCTTATAAAATATAAATTCATCCTTTTTATATTTAAAATATTTTAACAAGGAGTCGAGTACCTCAACTATCAGATACCCGTTACTCAGCTAATGGGAGCAAAGGGAAATGGAGATATGCAAGCAGCAAAGCGAGATTGAAATGCGCCACCTACCCGTGATCTCAATATGTGGTTATGTGGGCGGTAGACTGATTTAAGCGTTATGCGCGTTAGGGTGGGCGTGGCAAACTTTTTTTTTAATCAATCGATGGATATTGACGAGACCAATACATTTCAGTTCAAATTTTGTATCTAGCATGAAAATTGTGGACGCCACAGGTTAGCTCGGTTTGTGGGCGTTAGAGTGGGCGTGGCAACATTTTTAGTTCAATCGATAGGTATTTACGAGAGCAATACATTTTGGTTTAAATAAATCTAAATCTGAAATCTTAGCTCACATATGTAGTTTCCGAGATCAAAGCGGTCACACGGGCCGACGGACATGGCTAGATCGACTCGGCTAGTGATCCTGATCAAGAATATATATACATTAAGGGGTCAGAAACGCTTCCTTCTACCTGTTATATACTTTCCGACGAATTTAGTATACCCATTACTCTACGAAAAACCGTTTGGACTGGTGACGATCAAAATGTATTATACGATCTACTAAATAAGTACACTTTCCAAATTTTTCTCATTCAGCACGGAGCATCGGATTTCAACAAATAAGGGATCATTGGTCGCGTGTTGGGCATTTATCCCCACCGGTCCCAACAGCTCCAGTTTTCTAAAATTGCACTTTCACACTCTCACCTCTCTTTATCCCAAACCAATTTATTCTCATTACATCTTGGTATGCAATCCTCTTAGTTTTTGCGATACCTTTTGATTGGTGTATCACTCGTTATGATCGGACCTGCGGCTATATATAATAGTCGCCTTCTCACACCATCCTGGCGCGCTTCGTCACCACGTGGACTGCTGTCCACAGTGATAGAGTTGACCTATATGCCTTGTGACCTAGGAAATGACCAAGCTATTTACATCCCAAACTAAAAAACATTCCCAAGCAAACCCCCAAAGACAATGGGACGCAAGAAATATAAGTGTGGAAACAAATCTGCGAGGACAAGAAATTATTTTAATGTCCCAAACAAGTAGTGTGGCTTCCTGTGTCTCCCTCAACGCGACTCATGTTTCAAGAGCATTTCCCAACAAATGCAGCTGCCTAGGGCCGGGTGTTCAATAACGTCTGAGCATAGCTATTTTTGGCCTTCCCCCATCCCTATAGTATTTTACCAAACGCCGCGATATGGCCCAGTTGGCAGACTTTCGCAGGACTAAGCACGTTTTATACTGTTCGCTTGGCTTATCATTCAGATCTGGCACAGGTAGTTGACGATTGGAAAATTTGAAAACTGATACTTGACTGCCAAGCCAAAACATCTCACAGGACAACGAAATGTATTTTCACATATTCCACAACCGGGAATGGCTCTATTTGCTCTGGTTTGGTTTCTCGGGTTTTCAGTCGCTCGGCTTATCAATATTTACTTTCGCTGTGGCCCAGGTCCCAAGCTATTTATTCTAGGTTGTGGCGTATTTCGCTGAGATCCGAGGTCTTTATCTCTTATCTTCGAATTTTGTCCAAATACAATTGGAAATTTCCCGACCCATTTTAACTCAATTTTTACTAAACCAACTGAAACCAGAAAGAAAGCTAGCTTCAGCATGCCGAAGTCTTAGGTTTATTTCATAAGCCGTATATAGATGCGGCATATCTGTTACTTGACTTCTTCCTATGAAAGCCATATGAAGCAGCCGTTAGGGTTCTATATTAAAATAAGGAAGAACGCTATAGCCGAGTGCCTCGACTATCAGCTAACCGTTAATCAGCTGAAAGGGAGCAAAAGGGACACAATGGTATGGTAATTGGGCGGCAGACAGATGTAGACGCCATGGGCGTTAGAGTGGGCGTGGCAAACTCTTTTTAAAGTCAGTCAATAGGTATTAACAAGATCAATATATTTCAGTTAAAATATCGGCCGGTTACGAGATCTTACTAACACGCCACATAACATGAAACTTATGTGGCGCTGGTCAAACTTCGTAAGAAGGCTCTATTCTTTTTTTAGTTAGTTTGACTGTTTCCAGACATCATGTCCTGGGGCTCTGAATCTCACTGGAACAAACCCTTCCCCACAGTAACCAGGACCACTGATAAAATACGGGAACCAAGAGGCAAACACGGACTAACGCCCAATTTTCTTCCGTGACGCATAAGCTTAAGTATTCCAAGACGAAATTCACCGGACAGTGATTTCGGGGCGTGGAGCGGGTTTCGGAGGTTGGGTTGACCGGGAGCCAAACAATTCCAGCAATTTCGCAGCTCATTTGCTTATTAAATCATAAGCGTGACACAGACAGAGCTCGACGGAACATTCACACCCAGGCGGCCTAGTGTGTACGGGTATGAGAGACCCAGATCGAGAGAGGACTGAGCGTAGAGTGGATGAGGGCATGGGGTATGGGCAAGGGTCGGGAGAGGGGTCCAGACCCCGACTCTGGGTCGAAGCAACCCCTTGGTCGGGTCTGATGTGGCTGGCTAATGGTCGTGGGCATATTTTTAACCCTGGCCGAAGCCAGGCCGAGCGATTCGTTCAATTGCTCACCCATACACTGAAGAATACATGTGCTCTGTTCATGTATATAGGCAGAACGACGCTCATTTCCCTCACTAGCCCCTTTCTCGCTCGCGAGCTGCGATTCTTTCCTAACTTGGTCCACTCGCCATCCGTATTCTTCAGTGCTGATTGTCATTTTCGTAGTGCTCTCATTAATTTATCGCTCTCTTGCCGCCTTCCCACAGTCCCCAGCCCCTCCGACAGCACTCTTCTTTGGGCTTGCGTTTGCAGCTTCCCTCAATTTCGTTTTTGGTTCAAGTAGCGCCGATGCTGCGCCGTTGTATAATATTCGTCGCTGGGCGAGATCTGTTTTATGGCTATGGCGGTGGCTATAGCTGCGGCCGTAGCTACGGCTCAAGCGCTGCCCGACTGGCCGGGCCCGTTGAGCTGTCTGTTATCAGCTCAAAATAATAAAAATTTAAATATATACACATACCATGGGTGAGTGTGCGCGGGCATGTGTCGGGGCCGACGACTGCTTGTTGCCCATGTGGGTACAGTCAATTGAAAGGAAATGGCCTTATTTCATATAAATATGTACATAAAGTACAACAATACACACCCGTAGCTCGAGCACGGCTCCATATGAGCCAGAACATTGGACGGGGCGGACTCTCGACTGAAACCATTTGCGGGTCTCTGGCCCGGTCATTCCTTTGTTCGAATTGGTTTTTTCCACATTACCGCTCCTTAGTGTCCATATGCCCCTGTGCGTTGTTTTTGCTATTCTTTTTCGCTGGGCAGATGTTTTCTCAGACACAGAGCTGAGATTTGTTCGACTTGCTGGGGATTTATGCAAATCGACTGGGCTGGGAAACGCGATATGTGCATACCTATAGCCACTCTGATGAAATGGCCCAAAAAGTGGTTTACAGATATTTACAGGATTTGCGTAATTAAGTTTAGGGCAACTTTATGCTTAGAGCTCGTCTTATCAATGGAATGTTCTAATGTTTACCGCCCAATTATATTTGTATAACGTTTGTGTATATGAATCATTGGTATTCCTTTGTTAGATGGGATAATTTCGTATGAGTACCGACTTTACTTTATGTGATTACTGAAAAAGGTTCAATATATACCCTACGACCAAATTACAAGTTTGTCCTTCCGTTATTTCCATGAATTTGTCAATTATTAGATCGAAGCGATGACTCACGAACTCAAAACCCCACTAAAAAATTTTGCAGTCCACTTAAACAGAAGTGGCTACTCACATAAAATGATAAGCTTCTTGGAAATGCGGTGCAAACTATTTTAAATTAACCTTTGCAGGCATCAAACACTTAAACCCACCATATTTTTTTCCTATGTACAAATCATTGTGAGGAGGGTCTGGGACCTTAGTCTGCTATACACAAGCTTAAAGTTTGCAGTTCAGAATGAATCAAGCGTTGTCTGGCAAACTCAAAAGCAAATAATAAAGACCGAGCCAAAGCCGAGAGCCGTTATTTACGATTCGAGCTGCACTTTGACCATCGGTCATGACTCGATCGATGGCTAGTGGCTCATTGAATTCATTGTAATATAAGTAAGTAATATAAGTAAGCCTTTTGACACAAATAATTTTCAGAGGCTAAAGGCCATATGACACTTGCTCGATATATGAATAACTGACTTGATTGGTTTTAAAAAGTTATGGTAACCTTGAGAAAAAGGGTATAAAGCCTAACAACATTTTGCAAATTTATATGTCAAATCATGTTTAGGTTTCTAATTAATTTCTGATTTAAGTACATAGTGCAAATATTCAAAATCATATCTTTTGTTGTACTGTTAATAATGTGTTGCAGCTAAAATTAACTTCGAAATATATGAAAGCAATCAAGAGACACGCCTTTAAAGCATGACTCGTTTTGTGAGCAATTGTAATTTGAATTATATTTTCTCAAACTTTAAAATTGAATAAATAAAAATTTAGTTTTAAGATTTCTCCACTTAACTTTAGACAGAACATTCCTCCCCAGATGATTTCGTCAGTAAATTTAATCATTTTGGTTTAAGGTGTTAGACTATTTAGAGGGTTGGAAGCTAACTAACGTCTTTGTTGACCTGTATTATTCTGATCAACATCCCCAGACGAGTCAATCTAGTCAATGTCTCCTCTTGACTATTTAAAATTTACCAAATTAGGTAAAAATCATTGAAAATACATATATATATTGAGTAAATTCGGTACTTACTTTCTCTCTCTGATAACGTCGCGCAAAAAGTCCATAGCCTCATAAAGGCTCCATTTTGGCTTAAACCCGTTGCCCATAAGCTTGACGTGAGCCAGTTCACGGCGGTATGATTCCCGCAGGGACTTAAAAGCCCGGGCAACGCGACGCCCAGGGGCGTTGAACTCTCGACCTATGTGCTCCCAGGCGCGATTCTTCTCCTCCTCGGCGCCCTTGAAGTTTGGGAGGCGTGAGTCCCAGAGAATTGGGTTATCGTGGACCATTTGAATAAGCTTCAGCTTGTCGGAGGCGTTTCGCCGCACCACTGGAAGTGGAAATATGATTAAAATGAGAAAAACTAACAACTAAAATGTGAGGAAAGTTGAAATTTCAATTAAACAGACATCAACATCAGATAAACGTTACTCAGCTAAAGCAGTAATGCAAGCAGTAAAAGGGCGCCACACAGTGCCGATTACAATATTTGGTCATAACTTCTTAATAAACCATTTACGGGAATACATTACAGGGGAACTTTGCAAGAACCTCTAGAACCTGCGTGCTTAGCTTTTACATGTTCCGAGATCTCAGCGATCATAAGGACGGATTGTGGGCTTTAGAGTGGGCCTAAAACAGGGGAATCTCTAGAATCAGCATGTTAAATCTAAACTTTTGAGCTTTTATAGTTTCCGACATCTTAGCGTTTATTTGTTACGAATAGTATATAAACTTTCGTTTCTTATTTTTATTATACCTATATCTGTTTGAAAAATGTAACCTCGATAGCTTTAAAACTGAGAGACTAGTTTGCCTGGAAACAAAATTTCGAAACGGAAATGACTGAAACTGGGTCAAGAAAGCACTGTAAGTATCCAGTAGGACTTCCATAACTCGAAATAGCAATAAAAAGCTTTATTTAATTATAATTTTTGTTCGACTTATAGACATTGACGACTTTCACAAACATACATACATATGTACATGCATATGTACATACTGATGTTGTGTATTCCCTGTAATGACATTAATTCTAGATACGCACGTTTCTTGATCTTCTGCGATGGCAGGGCAATGGCGGAGGCCAGAGGGTGGGGCTCCCCCTTGGGCTTCATGTCAAGGGCGATGGCCGCGGCGGCGGCGCTCATGTCCTGCAGCGAGTGGGTGGCGGTGGGCGAACAGCCGCTCACGGGGGCCATCAGGATGTGCTGGAGGATCTGGATCTGCAAACTTGCGCTGGCCAGGACTCTCACTGTGCTCTCACTTTAGGGGCGCGATCGCGGCGACTGATAACGGGGCTGCTACCCTCTCACGACCAAGTTTAAACGGCGACTAAAAACCAAGACCAGAATATAACAACCACCGCGGCAATCGGGCTGAGCTGCGCCGGCGTCGGCAGCGCAGTTGGCAGCAAGCCCGCATTTCAGAGCCACAAAATCACGCGCACTCGACACGAGAGCCGGCTCTCTGCGCTCTCTCCTGCTCCCACCGTTCCCGTTATCTGCGTCGGCGTCGCGTCGCAGCCCTAGCCTTCCTCTGCTAGCTGGTCCAGGCATGTAGGTCTAAATCTAAAGCGCCCTCTCGCCACTCCGGAGAGCGCGACTCTCCGGATGGAAAACGCCGTTTAATCGCAATCACAATCACAAGCCGCAGAAAGTAAAAGCGAACGAAAAGAAGAGTCGCACACAGAGACGTGCAGAACACAGAACAAAACAACAGAGAATGTGTGTAATACAAAAATCCGTTGACGCGTTCGCCTTTGGTTTTCAGCGAACATTATATGTACATATGTGTTGTTGTACATACGTACGTTTGCATGGACGTATATAATATATACATATGAATGTTTTCGACTGCCGTTCTTGGCGGCTGCTTGCAGAGTACCCTGTACATTTGGCTTATTAGCTGCTATTTCAAATCGAGGGTGAATTACCATGTGTCGGCCTTCTTTGAATGAAATTAACCTATGACTGTTTTAATGGTATTGAATTTTGTATGCTAAGCTGAGAACATTGAAGCGAAAATCGTCTAAAAATATGGGCCTTTTTTAATGCTTTAGAAGTTATAAAGTGTAAACCAAATAAATAAAGTATGTGTTCTGTAGCTCAGTCCCCAAGCCACTAAGAAAGCTAAGGGCATGGGAACTGGGTATTCTTGTTACTTTTGTGTGCCCCAGAAATCTCCTACGGTTTTAGGACGGAATGTTGGAAAGCATAGTACAAAATGTTCTGCTGTCTCGATCCTATTTAAAGTAATGGTAGACGCTATCTTGTTCTTTTATCTCTTCTCCGATTTTAGGTAATCACTTTGGAGGGCAATCCACGTAGTGTCGAAGCGCACCAAGATTGTGTAAGGAGACGAGTGTGTAGCCGCAGAATGGAAAATCTGCAGCGATGATCCGATCATAATGATACAACAATCGAAAGGTATTGCAAAAACTAATTGGATTACATAACAATACTTTAAAAATAATAATTCATTTTTAAAATAAAACATACCCTAAATTTTATAAAATCGTCATTAAAATTTCTTTATTCTAAATTCAACAAATTTATTTCGTGTATGTATTTCAAGGTAATTTTCCTCAAGTATAGGAAATGGTTGCCATAAACTATTGTCTTAAAAACAAGAAAAAATGCCTTAAAAAATAGAAAGGCTAACAAAAAATAATGATGTCTTGCATTATTTTTTCTAAAAATGATTACCTTAACCTTATAATTATTCTTTCCCAAAAAAATATCTAGTTATATTTATGAATTGTATATATTTTGATGTACATTTTTTGGTATATGGTTTTAGGGTCCTGAACGTGATAGAAAACTTTCTACCACTTTTAAAAAAACCTATTAGTTTTGCGGAAAATCTGAAAAATTCTTATTTTAAAGGCCTATAGCATCTACAATTATGCTACAGATACGTGCTATACCTCGCTGAAAGGTTATTCACGGTGCCTTTGATGAAATTGTTTTAACACAATAGTTTTAAAATAATAACAAATATAATTTTCTTTTTGCTATTTTTTTTATATTATCTCATAAAGAGCTCGTACGATTTATTTTTAAATTCACTTCTTGTAATACAATTTAACGTTTGAAAGACATTAAACGATAAAAACTGCAGTTCAGTATAATTATTATAAAAAAAAATCAATCCAAAACAAATTTGTTCACACTATAACGCTACCGAACCACCAAAATGGCATTTTTAACCCATCAAATAGTTACTCTTACGTAACACATAAACGTAAGGGTTACTACACAAAATACTTAAGTAACTATAAAAGGGTAGAATGCAGCTAAATAACTATTTTCATAGCTATCCAAAATATTTTTAGTCAATTTTGTAATAGTAAATATATGCCTATAAAATTGAAAGTCTTTAAGTATATTCATATTTACATCGCTGAAACATGGTTATTTGAAGGCAAAATAAAAGGAGGAGTTTTTATGTTGCACTTTTTAAAAGTGACACCTAGCTAGTGTAAAAGTGCCTTAGAAAATATATGTTTTCAGAGTATGGCTTGGGACTCTAGGTGTATGAGACCCTTGATCCAGTTGGGAAATTTGTAAGGTTATTGTTTCATACTTGTGTGTGGTAGAAGTAATGTTTGGATTACTATTTTTCACAGTTAATTAACTATGTACTATTGCAAAATCTAAATTCACACATCACGTGAACGTAACTATGTTACTAGTGGCTTAACTATTAGATAGTAAGCAAAGCAAAAACAAATGCCTATACAAGCATTTTTAATAGTAAAGTACCACATTTTAAAGTTATTAAACCATCTGCATTGGTCAATTCTAACAACCAAATTTGTTTGTGTGTATACACGTAGGAATGTAAATTTGCTGTGATGGTCCGATCCTAACTAGTTATACACCACTCAAAAGGTATTGTCAGTTAATATTTTAACCTGCAGAAAGGGATCGCTTTAAATCAATGTAAAATATTTTAGCAGAAATGTTCCTTGTTGCCTCGTAGAATTCCTGGTGAATAGAAGTGAACAGCATACATAAAAAAAGAGAACAAGCTATAGTCGCTGGTATTGACTATTAGATACCCGTGACTCAGAAACTCAGGGAACGCGAGAGGTATGGAGATATGCTTAAAGCAACTCTGCTTTTTAATACACCTGGCCTATAGCGTCATTTATCTTTTTTTTCTTTAGCGTCACTTAGCTTACAGCGCCAACTAGCCTATAGCGTCTCTAGCGGCTTGGTGGCTTGAATTTGCAAAATGTTTTTTACTTGGTTATAACTTTTTATTGACGTTTGCGATTTCAATAATTTTGGAATTGATAATAAGAAAAAACTCTTACTTTAATATTTTGTAAAAAATGTGGGCGCTAGACGGGTTTTAGTATTATAGTCGTTTGTGGGCGTTAGAGTGGGTGTGGCACCCTGCTGAAACAAACTTGCCAAGTCCTAGCTCTAGCTCATATCGTTTCCAAGATCTCAGCGTTCATACGGACAGACGGAATGGCTAGATCGACTCGGCTAGTGATCCTGATCAAGAATATATATACTTTATGGGAAAAAGCTTCCTTCTACCTGTTACATACCTTCCCACGAATCTAATATACCCATTTACTCTACGGAAACGGGTATAAATACATGGATGAAAGCTATGGCCGAGTTCCTCGACAATCAAATTCCCGCTAGTCAGCTAAAGGGAGCAAAAAAGAAGATGGCGATATATCACCTACACGCGATTTCAGTATATGGTAATGTGGGCGGGAGACAGGCTTAAGCGTTACAGGCGCTTGTGGGCGTGGCACATTTGCGTAACAAACTTGCGCTGTGAACGAACCTAAGGAATCTAAATATGAAATCTCAATGCTCTAATTTACAAAATCACTGCGTTCGCACGGACAGACGAATATGGCTACATCCACCCAGCTAGTGATCCTGATCAAGAATATATTCATTTTATAGGATCGGAAACGCTTCCTTCTATCGTTACATTTTTTTCCCGAATTCAATATACCCTTTGAATTTACGAGTGTAAACATATTTATATTTAAGTACTTTTAATGAAAACATTGAATGTCGTTATCTTTTTCAAACCGAGATATCCCAAAACCTGCACCTTTTATGTAGTCTCATTTTGTTGTCCATGGTATCGATATGTTCAGGGACTCCGATGATCCCACCATGTTTGGCGAGGTTCCATTACCAAAATCCACAATTCGGAATTCGCTGAAGAAGTGAACAGTTGAAGGGAGGTTTCTTGGTTTATGTCACTATGTGTTTTTATGGCCTCCGTCTTTCTCTGTCTTCGTGGGCTGCAGTTGTGGAGTCGAAGTTCAGTTCATTATCGTATTTCCTCGTTTGTAGAATTTACAAACGAACATTTGGATCACACATGTTGGTCTTGCCAAAGAGCGACAGTGAAGGCAAATAGAGTGTTGGAACGAGAGGGTGACTGTGTGCGAGTTGCAGCGCAGATAAGAACGCCTGAGGTTGTCTATTTTGTCCCCCGATCATTTAAGCCGCTGAAATCCAGTAACTGCAATCGGCAACCGAACCGTCTGGGAGGCAAAGGCGAACAGAGAGCCGAGCAGAATGAAATCGCTTTGTCTGTATGTAATTTATGCCTAATGAACTATTTCCGGCCAAGTGTCAATTAATGTATTCTGTTTTGGGGCAGCACAACGTGCCCGCACAACCGTTGTCACGATAATTTTTCTGGCAAAACTCTGCGATCCCCGTTCTATATCTGCGCCTCCGCTTCCATACCCAGACAAATCCGCTTCCGCTGCAATTCCCTTGTCCATCACAATCGGGCCTGATCTGAGGATCTTCAATCGGAAGACCGTTCTCCTCATGGCACTTTTAATGCAAAATTAAAACTCATGCAAGCGGAATTTTGTTTCTACTTGACGGCTACTGCTGATAAATTTTTATGAATGTACAATACAACATACCAAAAAAACTCACTCAAAAGTAACTAGTACATATGCAAATATTCTTAATTAGCATATATTTTTTTAAACATAATTGATTTTTCATAGGCATTACTGTTTCAAAAGTATTTAATTATTTAGCATTACTTTGTTTAATGATAATGAAACTTGATTTCATTCGATTTACTTTTTTCAATGCTAATAAAATTACCAATCAAATAAAAACGATGTTAAAAGCCGGGGACAAACCTATCTTCAACATACAAAAGTTGTGATAGTACCTTTTGAAAC